CTTAGACCTTCGGGTCAGGATCTATCGTGAGGTTCCCACAGTGCGCGCGAAGCGCGCTCCACTTCAATACACGCACCTGGTTTTAGTGGGTAGAATGGGTGGGGCATATTGGGGAACAAATCAGTGCGCAATAATCATGCAAATTAAGAAAGTTACGCGTGTAAGTAGGGGGCTATACAGGGTCATTAATTGTCTTAATGTAAACGTTTGGCTTAAGTTTCGCGTCGTTTTTTCTACAGACCCACACTTATGGGGATGACAGTTGACTCTTATTTTTTTATTCTTCTAACATTTTAAAGTGAATGTCTTTGTGTGGATGCATTTTTCCTTGGTATACCGAACCCACAGTTTTGGGTACTTGTAGTCGAAAGTCAGGCATACTGCTTCAGCCTCTATCCTGTTTGCATGACTTTTACTTGTATATATAAAGCTATGCATTATATTCGTTTGTCATATGCCTACCCAACCGGCCCCAATTAACTGCAGTAGTTTAATACTTGTTCCCTCCTTTTATGACTAGTAAAGTCTTCTTATATACAAACCCTGTCAAACTGTCTGTATTGCCATTCAGACCCACTTTCAGTCTACCTGATCATCAAATTCTTTTACAATTTACAGGGGAAATGGGCAAGCGTTAGAAGCGCACAGGCTCTGATTGCCGTCAGCCTGCCAACTTTTGCCCAAGATTTGCGTCGTCAGTTCGGTATTCCTCAACCGCCACAACCACCTCCCCCTCCAATTCCTTCTTCTTCTGCTACCGGCCCTTCTGTTAGCCAACAGTTCGACCCTCCGCCATTTTCATTGCATCTACCTCAACCTCATTGGTGTCTCAATTGGTTGTTGTACCAGGCCAGTGGTCTGAGCCATTCAGCCGGTCTCTTAGGCCTTCGCCGTCTTGCTGGCTTCATCCTTGAGGCCTCTGTCAACGTCCCACAATCTGTGGCAGCCGGTCCAACTTCGACAAACGGGGTTGAACTCTGGGTTCGCGCCGTATTAATTTTGCTATTAAAACAAGCCTACTCAAATCACTTAAGTAGGCAGAATTAAAGTGGTGTCGTAGCCCTTTAAGAGTTGCCTCTTGGTTCTGTGCTGTGGGCAGGGTTCAGCCTCACCCGCCGTGTATGACCATTTGCTCTGGTCAGGAACTCTGCATAGACTGGGTACAGTTGTTACATTTATTGGTCCAACGATGATTCAGACGAATCACAACACACACAACTGCTGTCTTTGCGAGGATTTTGACATCTTATAGCTTAATGCTGTGCCCTGGTTGTAGCACATATGACGTGTCTTGCCGTCATTCCTCCTCAAAGATGAGGCGTTTTGATCATCTGCGTCCGTAATAATCCTCTCATTTATCCAAGCAATAGCTGGACCCACAAATGCGCAATTTCAGAAATAAACAATACTTGACCTGTCGCCTTGGTTGTGACTTTTTCGGTTTCACCAGCTGGTCTCGGACGATGGTCTTTGGTCTGAGTTCAGTCTTACTAAAGGGTACTGCTAGAAAACGTCTCACGGTTTCCGAGGTGTTTTCTTGACGTGCAGAAACCTTAACAGTTGTGTTCAGTGTGGTTTGGTGTCTCGTTTGAGAACTATGCGCACTTATTTTCTCACTGTAAATACTCATCGAAAGCGGAAACGTTGCCTTGCAATTTACTGCATTTTTTCTAAATGCACCAGTAGAATGTCCTTTCATAGTTCTGTTATGTAACTAATTGAGTGGTTACCGTTGAAGCTAAGTACTTGTGTCATATTTGCAACTTTTCTGATTACCTTGTTTCTTGGGCCAGCGCACCCTGTACGACAGGCATTGACACTTGAACAGACCAGTTGGTTCTTCTTTTGCCTCTATACCCCAACATGTATGTCTGGGAAAAGGACGTTGAGATGTTCTTCGATTGTCAAAACTCCATCGCATTCAATAGCGAAAAGGGTATAATTCACATGCTGAATCCATAGTTTCGGCTTGTGATTGTGAAGGGTCAGTGATCTCAGCAGTTGTAGAATCGCCCCGGCTATGCGCTTAGACATAGGTAAATCAATATATCGGTGTGCCTTCCACCTATTTATAAATCGTTCTGAAGCAAAATTTAGCGCATGGGAGGAACCCACTGCCTCCGAGGCGGTTTTTTGTTTTGGCATATCTACTATGCAGAAACATTCGGAGTCCACTCCAAAGACCTGATCCAGGTGACACTATGAGATCTTCAAGACGCGCGCCTCACGCAGTGGCTCTAAACACCGAGTCATGAAGTGAAACTAAGTCTATCGGGCCCGATCGTGTAACTTTTCCGCCTTGTTTTGCACTGTATGTTCAATTTCTCCATTTTTAGACGGCCTGTGGTGTAGCGAACCTCCTTTTCCTGGGACCGTCTGTGGAGGATAGTGTGAAGGCCTGGCTTAGTGATTACTTGCGGGAGTATGCTGCACTGTCACCTGCATCATCTCCGAAGTTCGGTCTCGTCGCTCTTCTATCTAGCCTTGCACGCATCAGTGTTGGCCGGACTTGCCGTCCCGCCGGGAGCACTGCGGCAGGTCCTTTCCAGGATCCAAAACAGGTTCCCCAACCGGGTCCTTTCATAGCGGGCCCACCTATGGGCGGATCAGCCATGCGGCACG